CCTGCTGAATCATCACTGTGTTTTTAACACTTGTTAACGAAAAATTTTCTGAGCACACATGATCTCTCCTTTAAACTCTTGAAACACTAGAAAATCTTATAAACAGAGGATGTCAGTTCACTCGTCAAGGTAAATGCTGGTAGTTTATCTAGCCTATGTATTTAAAAAGCAGCCCCCAGTTCTCTCTACTCTTTAGAAGGAACATTGAATAGAAAAGCTTCTCTGCAAGCAATAACTTAGACTATGACACATCCACCTGCAACGGATACTGTTATCACTGCTACAGACTGTTCGTCTGTCACCCAAAATTACGGTCTATGAAATCTTGAACAGCATCAACAAACATGAAAAAACTACTAACATTCTTGCAAAGAATTTGGAATTTGGGTTTCATCTTGTAAATGAAAGCTTCAGGTACTAGAGTTAAAATAAATCACAATTCCCTTCTCACAGTGAAGTTAAGTTCAGATTTGCCAACTGACACTGCAGATTCTCAAAGGTTATATAAGTTTAGGATAATATTAGATAATTTAAAAAACAAACCAAAACAAAACCCAAACAATAAACTATTGAGGGCTGATGGAATAAGCAGGTGCTAACTCTGGCTCGGGAAACCCCAGAGAGTAAAGGAAACCTGGATGGTGGGAAAATATTCTGGGGGAAAGTAGTTACATGCTTCCCTTTTTTTTTTTGCCCTGCATATCCATTTTTACTAATAGGATAATTGACAATTTTGTATTCCTAAAAGCAGCAGCCCTGAATGAAAAACGTTTTGAGAAGAAGGGGTAGCAGAACAGAACCCAGAGTACAACTCAGTCAGTAGGTCTGATAAGGAATCAGAGACCATGCCTGAATCTGCAGATGTTCGTTACTAAGCTTAGGCTTTGGAGTTACACTGCTGCTAAGAACCTGTGCAGAAGATCAAGCCTGTAATACTAAATTTCATGTGCAGATCCAAGGACACAGAACAGAAGGCAAGCACAGGAGAAAGCAGGCACTGTCAGTTAGAATGAAAGGAAACTGCTGTGTGTATCACCTTGTGCAGCAGCAGTGCAAGAACTGGTGTACTCATGTAAATTTTTGCTTCTATTCAAAATGAGCACAAAGCTTGGAACAGAGATGGAGGGTTATCCAGAAAAAAAGGAAAATCCAGATGATTTTCAGTCAGCAGCAGAAGTACACATCTTGAGTTCAAGAAACCAAGCCACATTACCGTATTGCCTGCAGTTGTTTTGAATCAATGTATCCAGATTTTCTTTGGATCATATCATAACGTGTCAATAGTGCTAACAGTTTCTTACAAGCATAATGTTTGGGCCATTCCATCTTCTCAGAAGCAAATATCTGTCAGTATAAAGAAAATCACCTCAAACTTTAAAACTTACTTATTCTGCTAGGCATCATCACACTTAGACAACTATGTAGTAGGGACGTGGGTCAAAATACTTTAAATATATTTTTATATACATTAGTGTACTGCCCAGTGCCAGGGGAGGGAACAGTCATCTCTAACAGGGCAGGTTCATCAGCTGCCAGTAACAAGCCAAGGGAACAGTGTAGTGGCAGTAGCAGGGATAAGACAGTTGCTCAACACCTCCTCAGACTCTGATCAGCTATGCAAAGAGCTGTGAAAATTACAGATTTTGAATCCATGAGAGAAGGATGAACGTGGATTTTCACTGGAGCTACATTGCTTAACAGTGGTCTGTTATGCTATATGCAATTCTCCCACTGACATCAATCACAGAAAATGAAACATTTTAGAGCTGGTTTATCAATAAAACCCAAATAAAAATCAATTTCAGAAAATAATGCTAACACACATATATTAACACTCCCCCTCACTTCTTTCCATCCTTCAAAAAAGAAGCTTCACAGGATATTTATCCTTTCTTCTATGGACAGAGGAATAGGCTGGACCACTTTTGAGCTTTGTGCACTTTGAATTAAAGGGCCTCTGAAGTTGAAAGCTGGCAGTACTGTGCTAAACACAAACCTCCTATGTTTTTGGGAAAAAGTGCAACATTCAGAATAGAAGCTACTTCTGCTTGTTACATACAGAAGCTGGCTACCATCACACCAAAATATAATTGAAAAGAAAGATTAACATTTAAAAAAAAGTCCACAATCATGACTTTCTAGAAAACCTGGTTACCATATAAGCACTACATCAGTATGGTGATGAAACAACTAAGAGTAAAAACAAGAGCTGTGTCTGTTAATACCTTTATGAAACGTGGAAAAAAACCAAAAAAAGTAACAGCCCTGAAGCATGTATTAGGCCATGTAATGATACAGTACTTTATAGAGATAATGCAGCACTCAACAACACAGCCTAGTAATAGTGGCCAGTGAAAACAAAACAATGGCAAATCACCTTTCTTCCGAGTTCTCTTCCACTTTTCTACATGCCTGTTTACATCAGTTCATTTGTTTCAGTCTTCAATTTTAGGCTTTCAAAAATTAGCTATATTAAGAAACTCTAACAATTGTTTAATTCTTATTTAGAGTGAAGGTCAAAATTATCACAGATGCCTTCCTTACTAATAAACAAAAAACTACGACTCTGAATATCCAATATTTTGTTATATACCTGAAATGACAATAAATTTGGCCTTTGACATTCCTTTACGTTGATCAATTTATTCTTGTTTACAAGAAATTCTTGGATAACCTTGAGATAAAACAAAAAAAGATGGCAGTTGAGAAGAGGGCAGAAAACCGAAATTTCAATTATTTGATTAAAAAAAATGAGTCTCTAAATAGGCTTGTTTGTTACCTCAGAGAATGGAAAGCCCTCACAACTGATAGCTTTCCTGCAGGTAAAACAAAGGTGTTAGGAACGGAACACAAATGGGGAAAATGCAGAATTCAGATGCTGACCCTGCACATGAAGGCAGGGAAAAGCAGTTTAATTTTCAAGACATTCCTACTTTCTGATGCTGTCCTCAAGTGCATTTGCTTGCTTGGCTCGCTCTGACTGGTGCCATTCGCAAGGGCAGCAGCACTTGGAGTCCCTGGGTTTGCAGGACTGAGAGCTTTCACAGTACTTACATCCACTGTGCTTGTGTTCCTTATAAGACCCTACAGAAGCAGGTGCAAGAAGTGTGAGGAGAAGAGAGGTTTCCAGAATCTCCAAATACAGAAAGCTAACAGTACAAATGCAAAGCTCAGAACACATACGAATCTGACTTGAGCAGCAGCTGTAAGCAGACCTGAGTGCATTGACTGTATTTATACATCTACAGTCAAAACTGACAAATAAAAGCAAGCTTTCCTTTTTGTAATACTTTTTCCAGAGGTTTCAGACCTTATGCTGAGAACTTTATTACCTAAACACTACAGAAGTAGTCCTGACAACATGGCAAACATATAGAAGTACATTGGAAACAAGCTTTTCCTTCTCCAGCTCATGGGTTTGAACAAGTTTACTGATCAAAGATGCTACCAAAATGAGGTGGTTTATGATTAATCTATGTTTAAGAAAACACTGCAGCAAAACCCAGCAATGCTAATAAATTCAGTGCTCGATGCAAGACCACATCAGACAACTAAACAAATAGCTGCTTGTCAGTATACTTTCTTTACTGATATTGTTAGAAAGGCACATTCCACTTGCTATCAACTAGTTCCACATGTGGAGAAAGGTAGTCCCCAGTCTCAAAAACATTTATATAAAGATATATACACATAATATTGCAAACATGATGACAGCCCAGAGGTTGAATGACAAGAAAAGTAGTTTTTAATGCTAGTCATAAAAAAAAACTCAAGACCTAACAAACAAAAGAAACACCACCCCCACCTCACACATCCAGAACAAAAAGTAAACAATTAGGCTAGAAATAATATTCAGTACTTTTCACACTGACCTGGATGATGGCACTCAGAACAGTGAATTACCCTTTTAACAACCAAAGGTGGATTATTATCATATTGAAGTTGTTCTTTCCATTGCTCAAACCTAAAAGGATGATATTAAAAGGATCAAGAAATATTTTAAAGTTTCACACTTAAAAAAAAAAAACACTGAAAAATAGTCCCTTTATACTTCTCAGGCATCTACCAGAGAAACAGAGCTTTCCAATTTATGAAGCAGATTTTTAACAGTACATTATATAATTGTTGGATTACTAGTATTGACACACACATTATGATAACAAACATAGAAAGCATTTGGTATCCCATGTCCTGATCCACAGCACAATTAAAAATGAGCAAGACTCTCCTCAGTCCCTATGTCTTCCGTTCCAATAGATCAACATACATCTGCTACCTCAAGAGCTAGGAGCCAGCTGATGTTTAAAACAATTAGCAAAACACATAATTAATTTAGGAAATATAAAATAAGGAAAGTGGTAATCTCTTCCTCCCTCCCCCAAATTTAAGTATTATAAACAATGTATGGGAGCTGAAGTATGTACCAGCAAGTATTTGAGTAAAATCTAAGTACTTTAGCATAAAACATAAATATTCATTTTACCTTTGCAATAGGTTTTGACCCTGTAAGGTCTCAATTAACTTTAAAGCTTGTTCCTTCCCAACTCCTGGAACGCCCTATAGAGACAAAAATATGAAACATGATTTAATGACAAATAGGAAGTATTCAGATTTTCCTAAAAACTGTTTTCATAATGTTATGTAGAGAAAGGACAAAAATAATCCCAGATGTTGACAACAGATTAAGAAAATATTTTTTTATTAAGTTCTAAAGTCAGAGGTAGGGACAAGATTACAGCTGTACTACCAGTGTAATACACAAGCTGAATAAAATGTTCTTACACTCAATAGCAGCTCAGATAAAAGATGGTGGAGAAGAAGCTAGTAGAGAACACTAGCAAGAAAAACAAACCAAACACAACCTCTT